CTGAGCTATATCCCCAGCCCCTCACACACTGACTTTGAGGAACATTCTTTTTGTTTATCTTGTTCCTCTTGTGAGTGTAAATTACCTTAGATATCTCCAGTAATTTATGTATTCTTTTTCAACTTCCTGGTTATCCTCAGCTCCTCCTAAATTGTAGACATAAAAATATAAGGACTCATTATATTAATACATGAAAATTAATAGATTTCAATTAGATTCATGATATAATGTAACCAGAAGTGAGCCATTCTTTACATTTTTTCACATCCTTTTTAAAGAAACAGCACTGATGAACAATAAACAATATTCTCTGATATTACAAATGAGAAAGAGCTGTTATCCTTACCTATAGCAGTCAGGTTCCTAAAGGTTTCCCCCATCACATCTCTGTAGAGCTTCTTTTGGGATGGATTCAGCAAAGCCCACTCGTCCATGGTGAAGTTCACAGCCACATCCTCAAAGGTCACTGCCTCCTAAATGATCATACATATATTTCTCAAAGGAAAGTTGAGACTCTTAATTCCTCTCATAAAAAGTTGAATTGAGAGCCAAGTGTGGTGGTACATAGCTGCAATCCCAGCACTCAGGAGGCTGAGGCAGGAGGATTGCCATGAGTTCAAGACCAGTGTGGGCTCAACTACATAGTCAATAAAACAAAACAAGACAAAATTGCTGTGGGCTCAACTACATAGTCAATAAAACAAAACAAGACAAAATTGCTGAATGGAGAATGAATCCTTCAAATCTTAATTCCATGACTTGATCATCAATCCCATGTGTATGCACTTTTTTTCACACTGCAATTCTGATGCTAGATTGAAACTCATTGCTAATGCTACAGCAGATTAGGAGGACTGGTTCTTTGGCTGGGTCTCATCAAGGATATCTGTGCACTGTCTGTAAAGCAGAGCTCACACTGGGAGACTACAAGACTACCATTCACAAAGCAGAGGGGCAGATGAATATCTAATCAATCACTTTGATACCATAGATAACATCTCTTTCAAATCTTATTATTTATGCTAATTCCTTCTTTGTTCGATTGTACTTAAACAGCATTTTGAAACTGGAATTTGGTTTCATAGAAAAAAACATAATTGAATATCAAACAATAACTGAAATGTTAATGGAAAAAGTTTTATTGGAACAAATCTGTTAACCATGAAAACAAGCAAAGGCTAGTAAATTACCGAAATCAGAAAACTTTTCATATATGTTCCAGGAGAAACAGGTATATATTTGGGAAGCTTGGTTGTATACTCTTCTATGCTACATGCAATAATTAAGTTACATATTGAAATGGGAAAGATGAACTTGAATGCTGGATAATTCATAGTGAAATAACTTTTCAAAGGTGAAAAAGTTTTTCTCAGAAGAAAAATCATGTAACTGTCATAATTAGAGGGATAAACTGAAATATACGAAAACCAAAACACATAAACAAGAAAATATTTGCTGTGTACACAGTATGAAGGTTCTCTCTCTTTCTCTCTCTCTCTCTCTCTCTCT